GAGAGATAGTTTCAAGAATTTTCATTGATGCTCATGAACTTCGTTATAATATGTCCAAAATTTTCGGGATGATTCGAGAAATAGTTTCGAGAATTTTCGATGATGCCTACTATGCTGATTACTAAAAAAATCTGGCAGATTCCGTTGGATGCCATACTGAAATACTATATCACTCAGGGCCGTCCTGAGAGATATTGATTATTCAAATACCACTCAAATTACAATCATATTCTTTTTTTGGGGGGTAAATTCTTCTATACTGGGCATTAGTAAAAGTAGTTATGCTAAAGTTTTGGAAAAAAGTGTTTAACGATTTCCTAGGTTAGGATCCAAAGATTAGAATGATCTCAGTATGTTTGTCCGTACGATAATTGTGTGGCAAAAGCCTAAACAAGTTAACAGTTTATTTTTAAATAAATAGTCTTTCTCGAATAATAATTTATGTACAGCGCGCTTTGACGTATATCATTTAATTTATCCTTTCTAAAAGACTGCTCATAAGTTATATTAAAAAAAGGGGGGGGAATCTGAAAGCTTTCAAATTTTAGTGTTGTGGTGTTACCTTATTTATTAAATATTATGTTCTTCGCACTTAAACATAAATCAGTTCAACAGCAGTATGAAAAAAAATATTAAAATGAGCATGTCTTTAGAATTTCCGATACACAATCTCACGCGATGGAGATAAAAATGACCCCCCCCCCGTACAGGGTTTTTTTTTTTTTTTTTTTTTTTTTTTTTTTAGTCCAAAGGGACTTGAGTCCCGAAGGACTATTGTTTCGTTTTGCGTTTTTGCGTCGGACTCCTATAAATGTCGGTTCACTTTTCAAACTGTTGCCACAAATGTTAGAGTCCTGCATTATATTTGAAGAAATTAAAATAATGAAAAATCTGCATAAATGATTGTATATTTTTCGCATTGTGATAAAAACATGGTACATAGAGCCATCGAATTTTGAATGAACGAAATCCTACGCGAATATGGGCATCTGAAATCCCAAATTTGGAATTTGTTTTATTATAGATTTTATATTTTGTAAAACTTTAACGAATTTTTGATTAACAAACTCAACGATTTAAAAGCGAAGTAATGGCAACGTTGTACAGAAAAAAAATACTTTTATCTCCAGCTTCGCGAGACTGTGTATATCGGAAATTCTAAAGATATGTGCTCAATTTAAAACCAATTTGCGATATTGCTTCTTGAACTGAATTTTATGGGTTTTGAGTGCGAAGAACAATGATATTTAATAAATAAAGGTAACAGACAAAATGTTAAAAAAAATGCTCCTTTGGACGTAATTTAAAATCTGAAAAATTTCAGATTTTTTTTTTTTTTTAAACCTATTGCTCGTTTTGAAATTGTTGTTGAGTTTTATAATCAAAAACTCATAAACGCTTTACAAAATATGAAATAGATAATAAAACAAATTCCAAATTTGGGCTTCCAGATGCCCATATTCTGGTGAAAACGTATATTATTGAAAATTTGATGGCTCTAGGTACCGTTGTTTTATCACAATTCGAAAAACACACATACATTTATGCAGATTATTCATCATTTAATTTCTTTAAATATAATACAGGACTCTAATATTTGATCGCAGCAATTTGAAAAATGAACCACCAATTAAAATTTTCAATGCAAAATGCCAAAATGAAATTAATAGTTATTCTGGACTAACGCCCTTTGAGCTAAAAACACTCAATTTTCTTTTAAATAATGATTTGTAATTTACTCAAACAATACTTTTTTATGTAATCGCTTCAGAAATTTGATTTTTGCGTTTAAGGAGTTCAGAGTTAGTACATCAAGAAGAAACTTTTAAACTATCCCTTTTAATGAAAAATCTGATGTGTACACCACATGACTTCCTTGTATTATAATATTAAATTGGAATATTAAATTATACGCATTTTTTCTTGCATTCATTTAAACTATGGATTGAATTAATCTACTTCGCCGACAGCGCATAAACCACATAGAATAAATGCATTCTTTAAAATTCACTCTAGTATTTGTTTACCATAGCGACACTCCGGCGCTAGATTCACTTAACAGTATAAACAATTATATAACAGTTAACTTATGTAATAATTATATAACGGAAAATAAGTTAACTCTTATATAATCCAATAATTATATAACAGTTAACGTATATATTTCGTTCATATTATAACTCATAATGCACAAAATTTATATCATTTAAAGAATAGAATTATCTAATCGTTCCCACATGTTCTATTCAAATACTATAATAAAGCTAGAATGATGTATAAAAGAAATTAAGCAAACAAAACAAAAAAAGAAAAAAGTTTTTTCACAGACGATTCAGTATTTCTCATTCAATTAATTCAGTTTCACTTCGCGAGAAGGCAAAAAATACATAAAAAACTCAAAATATCTGTATTAGAAATTACGAAGTAAATCTCAAACACTTATTTCCTCGAAAAATTCCAGAAAGAATTAAAGCATGATTTAATTGGCAATAATAAATGAATGCATTATCTTTGTTGTTGCGAAGCTAAGTTTCTCTAGATTGGCAACAAAATCCACTAGTCTCCTGTTTCAAATGTAAACATCAATGGCCGCCATTAAAAACAGGCTTAGCGGCAATTAAACAACTTTAAAATTGCTGATAATTCTAAAAACATTGCACACAGATTTACTAAAGGCATAAAATCCTTAACCGGAAGATAAAAACAACACAATTCAATCATTTTTAAAGCAAAAAATGTACAATTTACAAACATATAAGAGTAAAGAAACTGAGATCACTGAGCCGGGTAACAGAGTGGATATATATATGAATATATATACGTTTGGTGCGGCCGATTGCAACCAAAATACGAGGTACACATCTACATGTTATAGCAGTCCTATGTACAAAATTTCAACGTTTTGAGGCTACTCGTTTTCGAGTTATGCGAGATACGTACGTACGCACGCACGTACGTACATACGTTCGTACAGACGCCACGAAAAATTCTCTTCAGAATTAATTTTAAAGCAGTTTTATAATTTTTTTGAAGGAAAAGAGTATTTTATTCTGTCCTTATGTACAGATATCACGCAAAAACATCGTTAAATTGCATTCGATAGCGGTCAAAATGGATATTTTCGTTGAAATAAGCTGCCTGAAACTTTTCGCAATTACAATACTTCCTTTTTACTTCGTACAAAGAAGTAAAAAAAGGTCATTTCGACTCAGAGTCACTGAGACGTTAAACTAAAGCATCATGTTCCATCGCCTGTTAAAATATGTTTGAAAAAAAATCAGAATTATTGTTTGTTACATAGATCAAATCACTGACATGCAAAATTTCGGTTTTCTTCCTTAATCTTACAATAACGGCTCCCTTCTGAAAGAAAGCGAGGCACGAAGGCTTCTTTTCTTAATCTTTCTAATCTTAATACTAAAATATCGGTATGTACACACTTTCTATTTTGCAGTTAATGCATGAGGGTTATAACAAGAACAAAGTTTCTGCTTTCAAGCTTTCCACAAAGCTTTATAGTGTCTCTACTAACCAGTTAGCATTTGAAGACATGGATAATGATTCTTCGACAAGAGCTATGGAACTTTTTCGGTGCTTCATCTGTTCGAGATTGCGAAGGTCATCAATAACATCTTCGCGTCCATCACAAAATCATCCATATTAAAACATAAAGAGAAAAAAATTAATCACATGAATAAAATCCGTTGGATGATGCGTAATCTTAGTATGCTTTACACAGCAATTCAAATGTTTCCATCGTTATTTTTTCCGCTGTGCAGGAAAACTACGTTGCTACGCTTCGGTCACCTTTCGAATCCATGGCAGCGGATGTATGTTTATGATAAAATCCTCCATACCAACAGAAAGCATGGAGTTATGTAAATGTTTTACCCTTGTACGTTTTAAATGTTACTTCAAATATTTCTACTGCTGTTTTTGTGCTTTATATGAAAACTTTATAGCTGTTCTTTGATTAGCATTCGAATCAATGAATAGCAGGGTTCATAACACCAGGTTCATAAAGCAGACGATATTTTACTAGTGAGTTTGCTAGCGGGCAAAATTCTAGCCTTAAGTTTATAGGGTATTTTCTCCATCCTTCCAGCCTACCTCCGTGGTGTAACGGTACCACACGCTGCGCGTATTCGAGAGGTCCAGGTTCGAGTCACGGCGAGGGCATTGCTCATTTTTCACGTTCCAGCATAAAAAAAAAGTACCCAATGACTCTACAAGTTTAGAAATCATACTAATAAATTTCTTCAAACATTTTTTGGCAGATTTGCTGGAATTTGTTAAGAAATTAGTTCTAAAAGTTTGTACACTCTTTTCGTTCTTGCGGGGAAAATGATGAATTTTGTAATTATGATTGCTTATGCTTACGTGTAAGAATAATAAAATATATTCTTACCGGCATTCATATTGTTAGGTATTTTCTCTCTCCTAAGCGAGTGCCTTCTAGTGTAATTGAAAGCATGTCTGGCTAGCGGCTGGGAAGTCCAGAGTTCGAATTCCGGAGAGCACATATTCATATTTTTTACATCTTCTGCTGCGAAATAAAATTCCTAATGATCTTTACAATATTTGCAATAAAAATGTCATCATTATAAATAATTACAAGTGAAAACTTAATATCGCTCATTCCTTAGTTTTTATGAACTGCTAGTAATGTTTCAAATTTTAATGAACAATAAATCTGCATCTTCAACTAAAATTTTATTTGTGCACTCGTTTTATCTGTTATTTTGATTTGGTTCTACCAACAGAGCTTCAAAATTATGCATTTAAATACTTATACCATATCAGAATTATAACTCACATCAGGATATGTTGACAACACAAAATTCGGTGTTAAAGATTAACTCAACAAGTTTAACGGAGTATTTTCAACGCATTTCATAGATATACATACATTCTCGAGACATTTTAACTCGAAATTTATTTTCTTTCTTTTCAGAAGAAATCTTTCAAATGCATTGATTTGTATAATTATCTCTTTTCAGGGCTTGGTATTGCTGAAGCTATAGGTCATGTAGATTTCTATTTAAATGGTGGCATGCAACAACCAGGTTGTTACAACAAATCTCTTGCATATCAGGCTGAAGAAGGTAAGGTGCTATAACAAATTTTGATTTTTAAGGCATATTGAAGAACTTGTTTATGAATTGATTTATTGTAATCCCCATGCATTTATTGATGTAAATCTTTCAGTCAAGATAATTATTGTAAATTAAATGCAGAAAATGAAAAGGAAATAAAGTAGAACTTCGCAAGTGGTGTTCGTAGAACAGTAACAATTTCCGAATTTAATTAAAACTGCCTTTTCTGCTCTTTTCCTTTTTAACCGAATTTTTTTTTATGTGAATAAAATAACATTTAAAACCTCTTAGCAACTGAAGTAGTTGTAAGATCTCTGCCTCAAAGAAATATTGTCCCCCCCCAAAAAAAAAAGAATTTGTAATCAGCCAGCTAAGTCTCTATGCTGCTAATCCTGGCTTCAAATCCGGAATTCAAATCTTACGTTCGAAAATATCAGTATGCACACACTTATCCGTTACAGTTTTAGTGATTATGGTTTTAACGGTCGACATTACTTCTCTATATTTTGACTTTTCATTTTCTGTATTGCAGCGATCAAACCAAATTCATTTCTTGAAGTTACTTTTTGAGAATCCTTTGCACTGTAAATTGACTATATTGGCCAAAAATGTTAAAATGAGCTTCCTTTAGCAAATATTAGCTTATTCCAGCATTTACCATCCTTATTTCTAACAGAGTTTTAGAAAATTATTTGTAGCCTTCTGGTCTTTCAGTGACGTAAATGTTTTCTTGCCAACTGACTATTGTAGCCAATATATTCATTACCATATTGATTACTTCTCTACTAATAAATACTCACATGATTTATAGAACTACGCTTCATGTTTTGGATTATCCCATCTTCGATTATTTTGATGTTTGAAACAAAATTGCGTTGTATTCTTCAGGATATTTTTGGTGGTCTCTTATTTCTTTTTTAATTTTGAATTTTGTCTTACTTTAAATAAACTTTTATTTTATCGAAAACTGTTAAATGCTTATATGCTTAAACTTCTTAGTTGCTTGAAGAATAGATTCTAACAATATATCGTTTTTAGTTGCAAAGTACGAATCAATTTATGAATTTTAATCGCGAATGCTTTCTTGAAGCAGTTACGATACTAAATTGTTAAAATAACACACTTCAATATTGATAAATTTTTAAAAAACTAATAACACTAATATCTTTCTAAAAAATACTATTACTGAGAAAATATTATTAAAATATTTAAAAAAAGGGGGGTTGAAGTCGATCGTTGCTTCAGGGCAAAATTATATCTTAAATTTATATCACGTATTTGCAGACTATTTTGTTTTCAGTCTTTTCTGGTGTGATTTTTTTTCCGATTTAAAGAGAAGATACTAAATTTTAAGCTTATTAATCTATTTTGTTTTCGGGGCGGGGAAGGGCAGGGACAACTAGATAAACTCATTCTTCAAAAAAAAAAAAAAAAAAAAAAAAAAAAAAAAACCAAATTGTGATTTCAGTTGTATGTGTTGAACATTTTTGGGGCTATTTTCAAATATCAAAAGTGTGTTTCTGAAGCACTGCGTTTTGACGCTTAGTTGCACGTCTACCCAGATGTAACTGTCGATCATTCAATCAATAATGCGTTTAAAAATTGAGGAAAGGACTGTAAATTCCATCTGTTGAACGACGTCCTTCTTGAAATCTTCTTGAAAAAAAAATCGCCAAAATTAAAAATCGCAAAATTTGCACAAACGGCATGAAAGCTAATCGGAGAGCAAAAATGCTGTCCTCGTTTAAAATCTGTTGCCTTACTAAGGCTCTGATGGCTGGGATTGGATTAGGATTATTCAATTATGGCAAAGCACACGAGGGCTATCTGCCTAAAGGAGGGATGCCTTTGTGGAGAACTTTCTAAGGCAAACTGGCTCGTATACACGTTACGCAGGGGGAAAACCACGAAAACACCCATGCAGCCAGCCTGTTCGCGGGATTCGAACCTCGGACCGAGCTACCAGTGTTCAGCGTCTTTACCGCTCGGCCGCTGGTGGGCCTGATGACTGGGAAGCCGCTTTATAGAACTTTTCATTATGCACCCTTTTATTTCAGAATGAATGCCTCAACTTCTGCAAATTATTTTTAATTCCAATATAGTGGCAAATCTAATGGAGTAAAAGCTAGAGAGCATCTCGGAAAACTGCAGTATATGACACCGAAAATTTAGCAAATCTACAGCAACAAATCTACAGCAAAGTAGACAAATCTACAGCAAAGTGTTAAAACTGTTTAACTGAAAGTTAAACTGCATAACTAATTAATGTGAACCAATATTCATAAAAATGCATTAACACGAAAAAATTACCAGTTATCTGTCATCTAGTATAAACATTACAGAATGTGCATTAACGCTAGCATGTGATGAACTAGAGTTATCCAACATAAAGCACGTTGCCAACTGTCAGCGTGCTGGCTATTTCGATTAAAAAAATCAGTTTAAGAAACTATAATAAAATTTGTAGAAAACTAGGGTATTTAGAAATTAACGTAGCTTACGGTTAGCACTTGTTTTAAATGCGAAATGTTCTGGAAGCAAGATTTTGAGATATTCAGGCAATTGCTATAAAAATTTCATGGCTCTTGATTTGTCTATCTTTTTTTGAAAAAAAAAATGATTTCTAAGTACAGAAGTTGGGATTTGCCTTGCTTATAAATTTTCATTAGAAAAAAGCACATTTTTCTCACAAATGTACCCAAAAGTCAATTGTAAAATTGCATCAATAACTTTGTAAGGAATGAAGCAACAAAGTTTCGTTAATGAACATAACAGCAGCATAATATTATGCTCGATAAGACGTGCTCATTGCTGTTTTAAAATAAGAAGACGATATAAAGCCATAATATTTTATGGAACATGCTAGCAAAAATTTCTTTGCAGGTCAGGACAGGAGATGAACGCCTAACTCTTTGAAAGAAAGCATTGCAAGGCAATGATATTCTTTAACCCTGGAAGCCAAGATAGTTACTAAGCTGGTTAATTAGATAAACGAAGAAGTGGCCCTTAGAGATATACTATTTATTGAAGTAGAATTAGTGAAAGATATCTTGAACATAATGATTCGTTGGATGTCTCGATTAAAAGGGCCCATTGTAGAAGAATGCCCATCCAAGAAATATCCCAAGAAATTGTTGTTGTCTGATAGTTACTAGCACTGAATATTGAAACATCCATGATACACGTAAACTGAAGTTCTTTCAGTTTTACTCGATAAAAATGTAGATAATTGCAATGTAGCTCAGGTGGCAAGCTATGTACAAGAGATTATCATATTTAAAATCGGCGGTGAACTGCGGGATTTACCCATCTTTGAAGACGCAGTATGTAGAAAATATTTTTTTTTAGGATTTAGAGCGTGTCTTGTGGTGAATTTCTTTTTTCCGAAAGAGAATATTTATATGGAATTATAACAGATGGAGCCCTACAAGTTACAGATAAATATAATGGATTTTTGAAATCTAATATTGAAACCGATGATGTTATGGCGTCATCAAACTCTACTTTGCATTACAAATGTCAAGTTTAACTGCGTGAAAGACACATATTTACACCATGTAATAGGAAAAAAAATCTGCAATAGATTTAATAAAGTCTAATGTGTTCTGTCACAGACAGTTCACACCTTTAATTACAAAATCAGGACTTTCATTGGTGGAGTAATGAATTTTTCATTCATGCTTTGCGGCTTAACAGTATCGTATTGGCCGTATTCTGAACAGTGCTTTAAGAAATATAAAGTCATTCTAATCAAAATGATATAAACATCATGAATGTTGATTTAGGGCTGAATGGCAGAGACTTTAACTATCTCACTAAATAGTTTGCTGTTTAAAAGTGAAATTATAAGACCAAGTTATCTAGAAATGTATGAGCATAATAATGCAGGAGTTAATGTTATTTAAGAGACAGTTGAGTGTCATATGATTGTCTACAAGACCCAATTTGGGGAAGAATGCCTTAGAGTATACTGCGAATAGTCTCAAAGTTTAGCAATTAATTTGAAAAGGAATTCAGGCTGCATGAAATTAAAATGAATGTTTTCATACCATTTGGAATCGATGTCATTGATAGTCCTTTCTATTAATTCGGAGAAAAACTAATCGAAATTCAAAAATGACTACAATATAATGAATTCGTGTTCTATATATTCGTGTACTCGCTTATAAGATATGTTTGCTTATAATATACGCTTATTAAATATATGTTTTCGGCACACGCTTCGTTATTATCAAGGTTGCACATACATTTTCAAAGATAAAAAATAACAAATTGAAAAAAAAAAAACAAATTCTGAATTCATTATCAAAATTTTTTAATGTATTAAAGATTATTCTATCCTTCTTTTTGTTAAATGAGGCCTGGTTGACAATCTTATTTACAGCCAAGTATTCTCTAATCGATTTCCAGACATGTAACTGGTAACTATTATATATTAGTGCATTTCTAAATGTTTATTTAGTTTTATCTAACTATTGTGATCTATCTAGTGTAATTAAATAATGCTATACTATATAATAATTTATTTTCTTCTATCTCGCTTTATAGTATATCTGTATTCAATAACATGCCTAAATTTGTAAGGATTTACAGAATGCTTCCGTTGTGCAATTGAGTAACTAAAAGCAAGTCGGACTAGTAACTGCACAGTCCAAAAATTTTTTCTCGGTGAGGGCACATCCCATTTCACATTTCCAGCTTCAAAAACTCTGATGACGCTACAAGTAGTACCCAAAGTAACGTGTGGTAGACGATAATTCCCCACTTTGGTGTTGGCGATTTAGTTTCCGCCTTTCAGGTCACCATTTAAGTAGGGGAAGGGATACAAGGTTTTTCTTACTTCTTATTGTATGTATTGATGGTGTAACTAGAAAGCACGCCCTACTAGCAATCGAAAAGCCCCGAAAAGCCAGAGTCCCGATGAGAACATTGCACATTTTTTATATTTTCTGTTTCTACAAACCTAATGATTCTACAAGTTTTGCTTTAACATGCTCTGCAAGTGCTTTTATGCAATCGAATATGTCTATTTTTTGTAGATAAATACGCAGACCGGGACTCTGATTCCTTCTGAAATTAAATGATTAGTTAAATGATATTTTTCTTTCGAACGCTGCATTATAAGAAAATGAAGATAATAGTGTTTCGTAAAAACCAAATTCTGATCACAAAATTCATAAAAATTACTGAAGCTTTAGAAATTCCAGTGTTTGAAAGTTTTCTCTAATGAAGCAGGCAAAGTACTTAATGCTGACATTTATAAAACATATAATTATGCAACTTACGCCTATTTTAATTTTGAGAAACCTCTGAAAACTCTTGTTTTACACCTATTTTAATAGAGCTTACTAATGGTTTGAATATTTAATTTCAGACTTTGAAGTCCATTCCTGCAGCCATTCGCGGGCCTTTGTGCTTTTTACAGCTTCAGTGCGCAATAAATACTGCCGTTTCGAAGGATGGCCATGTGAATCTTTCCAGAATTTCTTAGATGGAAACTGTTATCCTGGTTATTCGAAGAGATCTTTGGAAATGGGATTACGTTCTCTGAAGCCTCCATATGTATCAAGGGGTCAAAAGTATTATTTAATGACTGGCATGTTCTATCCTTATTGCTGGCAATGAAGATTAAATTAAAACCGAAGATTCCATATCTGGTTGTCAATGTGTTTAAACTTATCCAAAATGATATCCACATGAATGTCACAGAAACATTGCTGGATTAATTTGTGAATAGGTGAGAAATATTATTTTTTCACTTTATTTTGTACAAAAAATATTTTATGTTTGCTTAACATCAATAAAGTATTTGCTTAAAAGTAATTACGATGTTTTAGTTTCTTTAGAAAACATATTCAAGTATTCCCAGCTTCAGTGACAAATGAATAACCAAAATATTGATAAAAATTGAACACCGTAGAAAACTTTGCTTGCAATGAACTTTGACTTCCTATAGCCGCAGAAAACGTACTAGATACTATATCCATAAAATACATATAAATAACAAGTAATATGTGTGCAAGAGTATGGCTCAATGAAAAAACCTATTGTATACACCACATGACTTCCTCGTACAGCCTAATAAATTATACACATTTTTTGCTGCACTTCATTTAAACTTATTTCCTCGACTTATTCTAAATTAATTAACCGATCCCCGAAGGCAGATTGAAAAAGTCATCAAAACCTGCAAATTTTGAAATTAAATATACTGATCATTTCATAACGAGTATAAAACTTTCCTAAATATGAGTAGGAACCGATAGCTTACAATAAACGGCAGATTTCGCTATTTGTCAAAAATAAATTTAAAAAAATTTGACGTAGCCTGTAGAGACATTAAGTTATTTCGAAGCCGGAGACATGGAAAAGAAACAATACTCTCACCGGGACTCGAACCACAGACCTCTCGAATACGCGCCGAGTGTGCTAACCATTACACCACGAAGGTATACTAAGAACGTGGTAAAAATACCTTACAGACAAAATATGAATATTTTCGTCATTTGAAACACATCTGTACTGGAAGTATGTTGACTGTGACCAACGATTGTGAAAATAAAAGCCGGGTAATATACCTAAAGTGCCACTGATTAAGGGTACCTATCATTACTGATGGTTCTCCTCTGGCCTAATTAAAGCTGCGAACGACGAGCAGAGATTCCCAAGTTTTCTGAAACTTCACGGGAATCTTCCAAATATTAGTAAGCGTCCCATATTCAGTAAGATTCTTCTTGTGCTGTATGATAGCATTTCACGTCTTGTTCAAAACATCCCAAAATGCTCAATAGGCTTTCCAGTCTGGACTTCTAGGTGACCAATTTATGCAGAAAAGTCAGATGATACTCATCCAACAGCGATAGCCAACCCGGACTTGTGTGAGGTCAGTTGTCTTGTTGGAAAACTCCATTCCATGCGGAGAACAAAACATAACGATGAGTATCACTCTCAACTCTACGTACCGAATTGATTTAGGGAGGTTGATCTCCACACCAAGCTCCCAACAACAACGAAAACCGCCCAAACGATGATGAGCCACTATGCCCTTACAGTTCAATCTGGCATGCAGATCATGACTTCATGACTGAGCCATATTCTCAGCCTCCTGTCGGCTTAAGTAGTCCGAATCGAAACTCGTCACTCCCTCTACCCGTTTCCAGTTCTCTATACTCCACTCTCTGTACTCTCTCGGCCAGTCAAAATGGCGATCATTGAGCAATAGTACTCTCGTAGGTCGACGGCTCCCGAACCCTACGTGAGCGAGCGTTGCACATTCATTTACTGCGTCGCGGCACCGTCATTCAATTGGGTGGTAATTTGAGCTACTGTTTGGCTTCGCTGGCTATGTACAATACGCCTGAGCAGTCTCTCACCACGCACTGTGAAGCCTAATTCTCCTTTGCGGTTTGCCCGATCTCTAGTTTTTTTCCCATCATCCATATATTCTTATAAGTCTTGACAACTGCGACCTTGAAAATCGAGCTGTCTGACATTTCGAATTGAATGCTATCCTCTATTTATCCGCGATCGAAGGCGTCTGAATCAGGCAGTTTACCCATACTGGCAATTCCAACAACTAATTCAGAACAACCACTGTACGCGCTATATATGCAGTAACCACAGCACCCACACTTGCGCATAAATGATACGCAGCGCTACATAATTTGCATAGACCTTGCTATCCCTAATTCAGTGGCACTTTAGTGTGTGTATTATATATGCGTTTGGTATTACTGATTGCAGTAAAAAGGAGGTGCATAACTAGATGTTATAGCAGTCCCATTTCAAAATTTCAATATTCTACAGCTAATCGTTTTTGAGTTACGCAGGTACGCACAGATGTCACAAAAAATCCCCTTTGAAACCATTTTAAATCCCTTTTACAACCCGTTTTGGAAAAAAAAGTGCTTTATTCTGTCCATACGTAGAGATCTCAGCCAAAAAACTCGTCCAACTAGATTCGGAAACGGTCAAAATAGATATTTCCGTTGAAATATGATGCCCGAAATTTTTTGCGATTACGAAACTTTCCTTAATTCGTACAAGGAAGTAAAATTGAATAAACCACTATTTTTAATTTGTCAAATGCAAAAATAAGTAAGCAAAAAAAAAAAAAAAAATTAACCACGTTTCTTGAATGAATCCCCGCATAAGTTGTTTTCTCTTCAGTCGTTTGAAACTTTGAAACAAAATTCAGTATAGATTAATTCATCTAAGACCGCCATAGGCATATTCGGCATCCCAAAGTCAAGGAGCAGAAGTTCAGGCAGCTTCTGAAATTATTTTGGTGATTAGGAAGTCGTTTTCAAATGACCAAAAAATGCAGAAACTTGCAGATTATCCAAATAAAAGATTTCTGTTCTAACAGACTGCTAATGACAATCAATAAATTGCATTTAAATAATACTTAAATTGAACTTTTAATTATTTTTAAATAAATTTGTTAATGATTTAAAACTATTTAAAATACCTATATTAAATTAAAAAAATAGATAAATACATAATAGAAGTCGCATAATTCAAAGAAACTCGGGAACATTTTTCATTAATAAAAGACATTTGCCATTAGATTGTGATGTGTCTTCAAAACACGTTTTCTCCCTCATATACCAGGGCTGATAGAAAAATCTCAAGACTGCCTCCCTTCCTCTTTTCCATATAAGATGTGACAATCACGGACTTAATTATGTGAAGGATATGCATCTGTTTGTCTGAATTTGCAGTTAGACAGCCATGGCCAATGTTATGTATTTCGTTGTAACAAATGGAAGTATTTAGTATGTTTCATAATGGTGAATGGAGAAGATGTTTATGTGAAATAATGGCAGAGGCATATTCTATATATTTGTTAGCAAATGTATCATTGTTTTTGCAGCTCAATAAAATTTCTTCTAATTGTTAGCAAAGTAAATAGAACAACTCTACCTTATTGTGGAGAAATATGCACGGATATTTTCCTTTACAATAAGCAAAAGTTTTTCATTTGAATATAATTTATTTTTAAGGTTTTTCGCGTTGTGAACTGATCTGAAAAGGTTTCCTGAGCATTACTGCTTATTGCGTGCTAGGTTAGTAATTAACTTGGCCAGATGAAAAGGAAAAGCGGAAGTTTTATTGAGATCAGTAATTGATCTTATAAATAAAATAAACATCAATAAATATCCCATGAATAAAAACGGAGATAAGACTAAATGCTTCTTAATATATGTAGCAAGTTTTCAGCATGAAATCTACGGGGTAAGTAAAAATAAGAACTTTAATCGTCTTGACTTCAGATAGTGTGATAGAACAAAAAAAAAGAGTCCTTTACATGTGAAGATGAAGCAAGCATAAGCATGTATGACTATGAATTTCTCAAAAACATAAGAATTTATGAGTATCAACTTCTCAAAAACATAAACATATATAACTATGAAAATGGTTTTTGAGTTTAGGTACACATCTCTTGTACAGCTGAGCTTTTAAGACATCGAAAGTTTATTTCGCTATGCCCAAACTGATCAGAAAAAAGTGGAGTGTCTTTCAAAATAGTGCAAAAATTAATTTATGAATCACAAAAAGGACAGATTACATTGTCACATCTCTTAAAAGACGTGAGTAATAACTCTAGTTAAAAAACTCTTATTAAAGGTGTTAATTATAATTATTATCACGCATAATTACTATTTTTTTCCTTTTTCTTTCAGTTCCACCATATGTTAATGATTTTACACTAAAAATTGCTTAGCATAAAAAGCATGGTTTAGATCCGTCCTTCCAATAACGCATCTCTCTTAAGATGCATATTTTATAAGTAGTATTTATTCAAATAATGACATATTGCAGCTTGTTTAAATGGTGAACCATTTCAGCAATGCTTCTTCAATATTTTTAAACTTTCTCTCGTGTCCAGGTTTTCCTCATATGAGCAGAAATAATAATAATTATTATTTACGTGCTTCTTCGTTAGGCACTACTCGATAAGAAGACTTCTTAAGTCTCATGGAGTGCTTTTTAAGGGGAACGGCACGTACTCACGTCACACATGGGGAAAATCACAAAAACGCCCATGTAGCTATCTTGTTCGCCGGGAGTTGAATCCCGTATAGAATTACTGTTGTTCGGCTGCTCGCTTGAACTCTGGTATGCCAGTAGAAATAACTGAGTTTCGATTTTTCCACTTGGTGGGAACTTTAGGTTTGGACGAACTTCATTCTTCGAAGGTAGATTTGAACATATTCAGTCTGTACTTTTCGAACAAGACTCATCATACCTTCAATACAACAGGTTATACGTTTACTGTTTGGCATGCAGAAGAATTTTTGACCCACGAAAATTTCTCCATTAATAGAGCGAAGCGAGTTAGTTAAAAGAAGATGCAAAGTTTTGCCTTTCTGGAAAATTTAATAAATAGAAATAATTCTACCGCTCATCCGTCCTCTACAGTGTCTATTATGAATGCATTAATTTCGCCTAAGAATGAGTGGTTGCTCAACGGAAGAGCACTAACTCTTTGGAAGAATACCCTAAATCTTTCAAAAGAATGCAAAAACCCACATTCAGAAAACAGAACTTCAAAAGGAATTTAAATATTGAAAGAAACCAAAGCGATAATGTTAAAAAATCGCTTTCTAAAAGAAGAGTAACTGTATACCCTCAAGCACTTAAGAATCTTTACACTATTTCACTTTTCCTGGGTAGCAAAAAAATTCAGAATTTTCATCCTAACATCAGCCTGAACAGAGCTCCATCTGACAGCTCAGTCAAAGAACTTGAATGGAATCAGAGAATTCGTTAATGTTTTTTGCTTTAGTGATAATGGGCACCATTTGGTTTCCTAACTT